AAACAAATCATCCTCTTCTTCACCTATATACTACCTCATAATGGACAAAATATGCAATCAGCAACTGTTTTGTAAATCCTACGATAAGGCAGGAGGAAGGTAGTCCAGTTCTGAAAGACTATAACATAGAATCCCAATAACAATGAAATCCAATGAATTAAACAAATTCAGTGAACTGCATAGAAGGAATTGCAAAATTAATTAGGTTGATTTGTTCGGGTTTACAACTCAAACAATTCAAATTTCCAAACCTAATTCTGCAATTATCTGTACAAAAGATTCAAAGCAACTACTCAAAGCATATTCATTCATTGTTTTGTATGAAACGTACAATTTAATGGATTAATGTGTGAGGTTAAGAAGATCAAAACTTTAAACAGTAAAAAATCTCCTATGCCCCACGTTGGGCGCCAATTTCTGTAATGGACCACTTGTATTGGTATATAACGAAAATGAAACCAACTGATTTTATTGGGAAAGAGGAGTGGGCGGGAGCCATGCAAGGGCTAGCTAACAGTCGGGGTTGGGGTGGATCTTACTCTCTCAATTCCCATTTACATTTTGTTTGGTCCACACTAGAAATAAATTTATTTTAGACTCCCTGATCTTAAAGATGGAATATGAACTATGAATTGACCCTAATCAAATGCTGACAAAGAATACCCCATGTTGGTCAATAATGCTGAAATTATACGAATCTCAATCAAAATACCTATTTGGATCTCCTGATGGTGTGGAGTCATGTGCCGCAGCCCTCCCAACCAATGATTTTAACGAGGCACATTATCTTAGTTAAAATCCCTAAAGTAGTTATTTAAGTCACTTTCCGATTACACCTTGTAAGAAAATTTTAATCAGTTTATTCACTCATTTTTGTAAACTTCAAAAACAAAAATTATTAGCAAACATAAAAATTATTATATAAGAGCTTCAAATTAGCACATAAAAACTTAATTCAAGATACAAAATTACTCTGTATGCCTATCGTAGGGCTATCGTTAAATCTATTCTTTAACATAATTATGATGATGATAATGTAAGACACTTTATAAGAAAGAACAGAAAGAACAACAAAAACAATTCTTCCGAATCTGTTATAGGAATTGAATGCAGTAAGTAATAAAAGCAAGCGACATATCAAATGTAATGATGATGATGTTGTTGTTTTTTTTTTTCTTTTGTTCTTTCTTTGGCGATGTAACAAGCAATGCAAAAGATCAATGTTATTTTGTTTTGATTAATTTACTCACCAAACAAAAACACCGCTGGTAGAGGCCTCTTCCATTATGGTAGTTGGTAGTTCTTTGTTGTTGCTATGCTGCGATGAAGATCATTTTTACTTTTGCGTTGCTTACATACCGAAGTTCAATCTAACAACGTGATTATCATCTCCATGTAATTAATGATATATGGGTAACTCCATACGTATTTTTTTTAACTTAATAGTAGGTAATATTTTATAAATATTAGGTTATTGTAGGAATTGATGATGAAACAGAACTGACAGGCGTACTTAATTCAAGCTGGGTTTAAAGTTGCGTTGAAACTTTCAGAATTTTATGGCAACGGTAGAAAATAAATTATAAAATTTTCAGCTTCTTAAGACGTAATTGACGGAATAAGCAGACTCCAATATGAAATTGTGGAAATACAATATCCACTGACCCGACTTGACGTAATTGGAAGTTTTTGTACCAAATTTCGGGAAGATTTACAAAACCACAATTTTCAAGCTGTTTGTCTTGGCAGTTTTAGATATAACGTCAGGTAGCCAAACAGACTGCTATTTAATTCTGTATTTGGAAATCGAACTTGTCCTGGATTTGTAGAATAGCGTTTAAGTGGTGGCTCCTCAGAGCCCCCAACACGGTATAAAAAGGTTTTATAACCTGTGAGGATAAAATTAAAAAAAATTAGACAAATCCGCGGAACCCATTTCTGTTTTAGATTACCTTTAAAATAATGGATAGCGGTATTGTTTCCCGTGATATAGAGAATGGTTATCCTCTGGCAGAGGTAACACAAAAAAATCACGTGGGTCGCGTGGCGAATATGGGGTACCTTTTCTGTTAATAAAATATTTCACTTAAATTGAACACTGTATCAGAAAAAATGAAATATTTACCTCTCGATATTTTATGTTTTTTTTAGGGTGAGAAACTGTGAAGAAAACTTCAGCAATTGAACGAATCAATTTTACAAAATATTAAAAAACTTAACAGGTTGAAAACTTTTAATTGTCACAATATGTTTTATAGTTCTTTGCTGGTTGGTGGATCGATAGAAAAGAATGATGAAGACGATTAGCTGGTCTAAGTAAACCTCATGCAAGGGCAAGTTGAAACAAGAGAGAGAATGCAGTGTAGTGTTTAATAATCACCGCCTTATTGATTGACGTACGTTGTTTAACATGATATAATGTTAAGTACTGTACAGTAAGTGTACGTTAATTTTGAAACTCATATTACAGCTAGTACTGCTGCAAATATTGGAATTTGCAAAACTTGGAACAAAATCGGATTATACTTTCTCTTTCTGTGCAGTAAAGTATTTTTTTTTTAAATGTCGATCTTTTATGGGAGAGGACCGATATTGCCCATCTCCGAACTCGGTCTAAGTTTGATAATGATATTACGATGTACTAAGTTTGGACCAAATCGGATACTTGCTTCGAGAGTTATCGTGCGCACTAGCCAGACAGACGGACGGACAGACATCGCTAGATCGACTCCAAATGTCCTGAAACGGATTTGGTCCAAAGAGACCTAGGGCCTAAAACCGTTATTTCGATGAGGCACGTTTTGGTCGTACCAAATGATATATACCCTCTGAGGGTATAATGATTGGTCCGGTCCTATCGTTTTTCTCTTTTATTTGTTTGCTACAAAAATACAATGGAAGTAAGAGCTTTCGTGTGTATGTGATTGACAAAAAGCATTTGTTCCAAAAACCCAAATATTTTTTAATCAACAAATTTGCAAACGAATGGAAAAAATATAGTTAAAAACAGGCTGTAAACTTTACTTCTCGTTCGTACAAATAGTTATTGCCAACCTACTATCATACAATTCCATACTTACCGCAAGTTTTAGCTCATAATAAAATAACATTTTAGGTTTTTATTATTTATTTCTTTTATTACAAAAAAAGTTCATTACATAAATAATTAAATAATTACATATTTTTTTAATGGTTTTTGCGTTTTCAATCGGATTCGAGTTAATTTATAAGAAGTTTTTTTTTTATTAATTAAAGTTATACCTAATAAATGCCGCTTATTAATAATTTATGAAATTTTTCATTTTAATTTTATTCTCTATTAAATTATGTGTGCGTGAGGGTGCAAGGACAGGGCCAACTCAGTGAAACTTTCTCTTGCACTGTGTGTAAAAATTCTATTGACATATACATGTATGTATGTATGTATGTATGAAATAAGGTAATATAGAACAATTGTAGAGTTTATGTAGTGGCTCGAAATCAAAATAAAATAAGTGGAATTCAATATATTGTAACATAAAAGGGATTTATGTTATTGATGAATTTCAAAGGATCAAAAGGAGAGAGAAAAGCGAAAGATTATAAATAAATTAGTCGATTACTGGTAAGTAACGACTAACTCCTTTTACGATTTTAAAGGAGCGAATCATATTTGAATTAAATTCTGTGTATATTGAAAATGAACTTCAGCTCTATTCCATTTATATTTTTATACCCTCCACCATACTATGAGGGGTATATTAACTTAGTCATTTCGTTTGTAACTCCTCGAAATACTCATGTCAGACATAAAATTGTCTATGGGAACTACACTTTGTGACAGAAAATTGTCTATGCATGTCAAGGTATTCGTATAGGCCCCATATATCAGTACCTCCCTATATTTTTGGTATATTGACGATTTTAGGTACAATACTCACCGAAATTGTTTGAGATGTCGTATTTGAAGTTCGTAATGGATGCGACAGCCTGTGACAGAAAATTGTCTATGAAGGACCAGGTCTTTGTATAGCTCCGATATAACGCTGCCTCCCTATATACGGTATTTTGATGATTTTTGCTACATTATTCACCGTTTATTTCAAGTTTCGAATTTGAATATGATAATGGCTTATGACAAACAAAGCCTATGTAGGTCCACGTCGTGTAGTCCCCAATATAACGGCTATATTCGGTATTTTTAAGATTTTCACAGAATTTTTAACGGATTTTATTTCTTGAAAATTTCCAAATTCGTTCCAAATGGTGGAGGGTATTCCAAGTTCGGCCCGATTTAAGTTAAAAAGCAGTATTAACTTGTTATTACTCTTTACGATTATCATGATTTTGCATCACGAGGCTATATAAACTAATAATCGCAAAGAATAATAATAATATAATTGGTTTAGATCTAAAGTCTTAAATTTACATTGAAACATACAAAATTCAAAGTTTTAGATTTTGAATTGGAGTCACTGTATACGTGTATGCTGGTTAAATAGTTGTTACAAATAAATAGCTTAAACAATTATGAATAACTTAATTTCATTAATATAATTTTATATAATTAATATAATTTCATTAATATAATTTTAGTTGTGGTTTTATTATTTTTTTGTAAATTAAAGTTTAGTTTTTCTTTGTTATTAAATGCATTCGATCGAATATAGAACAAAAATCATAGATAGGCCAACGAATTAATTAAATAATTTATGAGTTATTGTGAAAACAAATATAAATTAGAAAATAAAATACATTATTAAGAACTAGGATCAATTTGAAATTATTTAATTAATTCATTGCTATTCGTATAATATATATGTTTCTCTTTTTTAATTTTGTTTTTATAAAACAAATTAAATAAATGCTTAAAAAGTTTACTTAAAAATAATATTTATGAATAGTATTCAATTATATATATTCAAAATTTGGGATCGAAAAGAACCCATTTTGTGTAATTATTTATAAAATATCATTTTCATTCAATACCAATTGTTATTTTTTTATCATTAATTGCATCGTTTTGTTTTTTGTTCATTTCAGTCACAGTAGTATAATGTTCAGTTAATAAATTATGGTCCAAAATCTCGTTGCGTCTTATCATAATATTATTAATTGGATTAAGAAATTCTATATAAATGCTACCTACACCCTGTTTGTTTTAGTATGCGTTTTAGTTCCCAATGTATTGTTGTAGTTGTTATTCTTTAAATAACTTGTTTTCTCTCGCCATTCTATTTAGTCCCATACCAGGGTCTTTTCAAATTCTATAACACGGTCCCAGGGGAATTCAGGCATATCATCAGCCTCGCCATCCACAGTATTCTCGCTTAGAGAACGTTTTTCGCGTTTCAGTTCTTCGCTCACTTTAGTTGTATCTTCACTAAGTGTGGTTCGGGCCACCTCGTCATTGGACTGGGCTGGAGTTGAGGTATTGATTAGCAGTTTATTGTCAACCTCAGTGGCGGCCTCAATGTTATCGGCGCCTTCGCGTTCATTGTTACGACCATAACTGGCACCAGGGAAATTATTTATTGACACCGGTTCTGGTCTAAAGTTATTGTTGCTGTTCTTGTTATTAAAGTTGGAATTGGATATACTTTCGGGACGATTTAAATATTGATAATTGTTTTGTGAAGAGGAGAATGAATCGGAGCCGTGATAGTTGTTGCTGTTGGCTGAATTGAAGCCACCGCCTAAGGATGATTGGGAACTTGGAGAACTGCTGCCACCGTATGAGGGTCTACCATAGGTATCCTTTGTACCACCATACTGTTGTGATGATGAACTGCTACTACTGCTACCGCTGCCAAAGGAACCACCGATATTGCTATTCGACTGCTGGCCAAATGAGGTTTGGGATCCGGGCCTATAGAAAGGTTTTTGCAATTGGTAACGTTTGGGTGGTTGGACCGAAGGTTTGCGCACCGAATAGCCAGGTTTGACACACATCATACCAAAGACACGAATACCGGGTACACTGGCATATGTAGGCTGATCATGGGCCATAGGTCCCTCTGTAAAAACAAAGAACAAAGTTAAATTAATACCAGAATTTATAAAAAGGAGAAATAAATGCGCTATGTTCGGTTCAGCCCTTCTATCTGGAATTGTAACCAAAGCTAAGGGCATTGCTGTGACAGCAAAAGCTTTGTCACAGGATATTCGAACTCGAACTCAGTTTTGGTCTGAACATTGTTCGATTGAAGGAATGTCGTACACCATGAATTATGGCCAAAGGCTCGTACAGTCAAAATAGTAATTTGTGAGCAGAAATCCTCCAGAAACATAAAGATCGACAGTATAGGAAAACTAGGGGTTTACGGGCCCCTGTTTACGCATTGTTGTACACCATTTTTATTTCCTCCACCATACATAGTATGAATGGCATATTAAGCTTGTTATTCCGTTCGTAACTCCTCGAAATAAGCATTTTAGATCCCACAAATTACATTCTTCATCAGCATAAGATTCTATGCCGCCAATTCCATCCATCTTGTGAACGAAATGAAGTAGGTTGAAAAAAATTTGCTAGGATGCATTTTGGGTCCGTGGCATTTTTGGTATTCAAAATGAGACACATAGGTCAACATTTTGATATATTCTTCATATAACTGTACCGCCAGTTACAGTTTGGTCATATTTTTGAATTGCATCAAATTTGGTATTTGAGGTTCGTAATGGATACTACCTTCACCGACAGAAAATTTCTTATGTAGGTCCATGTCTTGGTATTTTGTGCATTTTGAATATATTAGCTCTATTTTTCAACAGAACTATTTCAAATTTGAATTTTGGAGTTCGCAATGGGTACCACCTCCTATGACAGGAAATTGCATTTGCAGATCAACGGCTTCATATAGACCCCATATAATGGTACCTCCCATTATACGTTATTTTGATGAGTTCTCTCAATTATTATTTGGAGTTCGTAATATGCTCCGCCCTCGCCAACGGATAATTGGCTGTATAACTGTAACACCAGATTTTCAAAATGTTTAAAAATTTTCCGGCATTTTTTAACATTCTGCAATTTCATTCCAAATTATGGAGGATATTAAAGGTTCGACCCGGCCGACAGATATTCCTCAAGTGCCAGTCTTTAGTCAACCTGGCTTCATCTGTGGTCCCAAACTGTCAATTTTAAATTTTATGTACCGTAGTTTCCTGTCATCTTCCTTCTTCCGTTTCCAATTGGAAACCTTCTAACCGATTTGTTTTCGTGTATGCTCTGATAGCTTGCAAATTTCCTAACTCTTTGGACTTTCAGGTTGTCAAATCCGTTTGTCCTTTTCCTGACATTGGAGAGCGAGAAAATCTCAGCTATCCGAGGATCTAAGTCTTTCAGATTTTTTGTATTTTTGATTGGTAAAATCTCTAATTGAATGAATCTAAATCTCGAAATGAATGAATGTTATGAAGCCAGGTGGTCTAATGGCGGCTTCATCATTCTTTACGTCGGACTACTTGGTGCATTTTATGATCCGGCGGGATTATTGGACCCATCTTTTTTGAAAATGAGGTTGGATCAAGGATGAAAATGGGTTAGAGATAATTTAAGGTCGGAATTGGATGCTGTTGATCTGAAAAACGATTACTTTGCTCTTTCACAGGGTGAGATAAAAAACTGCAACAAAGTCAAATGCCATAATTTTTAATTTTTTTTTAATTTTATTGAATAAAAGCAAAAAATGTCGGAAATAACATCAAACTTTAGAATAAGTTTAGATTTGTTCGAATTGGTCATCTTTGGCACGAATTATGGCTTTCAAACGGCCAATCACACCGTTACACGCTGCCCGAATGTTGCTCTGTGGTATTTTGGACCATCCCAGGCGAAGCGCTTGCTTGGGGTGATCGACACTTTGGTATTTATTAGTATCAACCTTGCTTTCCAAAATTCTCCAGACAAAATAGCCCAACGGATTGGTATCCGGAGATTTTAGTGGTCATAGAGCGCTGGAAATGAAGCGAACAACCTCATTTTGTAACCATTCTTGGGTGGCGCGTGCTGAGTACGATGGTGCTGTCCTGTTCTGCGGCCAAAATGTTTGCCTGCCCAAGCCTTTAATACACCCTCCAGAATATTTTCAATGGCTTTACTCCGAGCTTATTTTTCAATATTTGCCGAATGGAATATTGCGATATGTTCAGCTCACGAACATATATTCACATTTAAATGCTGGAGTGTGGTAACGATTGTCACTTGTGGGTTTTCAGCCAAATATAAAGAAATCACTCTATCACGCTTGACAGCTGTCGGATGAGTGGCACAAAAATTACAGCAGTCTGAAGTTGGTTGCAGTATTTTCATCTCACCCTGTATCTCTGCAATGGAGATAAGGGAGGATTTCTTCCTTGGGGGGCACATGTCATATAATGCCAACGTCAATTCAAAACTTCGCAGACTGTATTCGCAGGTTATGAAGTCAGGGGGTCTATTGGCGGCCTATTTTATATTTTATTTTTTTTATGACAAAACAGGACCAAAATTGCACATCTCATAGAACAACCATTTGCAATTTTTTAACTTTGTAAGAAAGATCTGTGGAATTAAGGCTGTCAAGATCCGAATCCTCTTGACCACCGAGAATAATTTTCTCTTAAATTACATTTAATTGTTGAGTTTTTCTGTTGAGTCTTTTTTTATTTTTCTTTGACTTACCCATTTTGAAATGATCTGGACATCTGCATATGACCAAATAATGTGATTTGCCTGTGCGGGTATTCTGCAATGCCAACAGCGACCAATCTTTGGGTGAACGACATTCGCGCATTTCGGTTGTAGCCTCACAGGTTTTGGCCAATGTTATAGCCTGCAAAGAAGTAGAAAAAACAAATAAATGGAAATTTAATACCAGCAACATGTCAGTTTTTCCAAGACGACAACAACAACAACGAAAAGAAGAAGAAAACCATAATCATAATACAAAGTAATCTAAGATGTCTTGCAGTTGGTCATTGTCATCCTTATCCCCCATCGCTGTAGTGTCGTGTCGTCTGTTGTTTCGGGGACAAAAGTGAAATTAACATGACAGCCACTGTTGTCAGTGTTTTGTTAACTGGCTGTGGCATCTCTTTTGGAATAGTTGTTTGTTTGTTTGTTTACCTACCTCTCGCTCTCGTTGCACTATAAGACGCTTATCTGCTAGATTTAGAAATTATCACAAAAGCTATCACAATAAAATCTTCTTCACGGTGCGGTTTGTGTTTTCTTTTGGCAGTTTGAAATTCACCGATGCACAGTGTTTTTCGAGGACGATAATTCTGTAACTGCATGCAAAGGTCAATGTTTGTGTGTAAGTGTGAGATAAGGCTGGGTTTTTTGGAAATTCGAAATATAAGTATTGAAAAGTACTTAAAATTGGATTCATTGTAGTGGTCAAACGGATAAAGTTAGAATTCTGAAATTTTCAATGAGGGTCACAGAGGGTCACTGATATGTACCAAAGTTTTTTTTTGGAAATTCGAACGAAATTTACTAAAAAGCTCTAAATTTGTTACCATTTGTTATTATGTGAAGGGATAGAGTTAAAATCTTTTCGTTTAGTATAAGAATTAAAGTAAGATGGACATAAAGTTGTGGTTTTGTAAATGTGTACTAAGTGTAAGAACTGCACTAAATTTGGTACAACTTGGGTTTGTCTGAACGGATGGAGCTGGAAATTTGAAATGTTGTTATCAGGATCACTGTTAGTGGGCAGAGATGAGATTTGAAGGTGGTTTTGGAAAAATGTGTAAAAAGTACCAAAAGTTCTAAATTGTACCAAATTTGGTATATGAACAGATCGAGTTGGAAATCTGAAATTTCGCATTAGAATCACTTTTTGTGAGTTGAGGTAGTTTGGGAAATATGTACTTAAAAATGGTATAAAATATTGAATTTGGAAAGGGATAGAGCTGGAAATCTGAAATTTGGCTGAGGGTTGCTGATGACGTGTAGCATAGAAAAACCAAAGGGAAATTCAATTATGTACAATTTTGTTTTGGGTAAACGGATAGAGAACTGAACATTTTTAAATTTTTATACCATACACAACATAGTGGTAAGGGTATTATGTCTTTGTGCATTTGTTTGTAACTGGAATTGTGAATTTTTGTATTAGGATCACTGTGAATGTGAAACTTCTTGATAAGGGGTAAATTGGGAAATGTGTAATATATTGTGTACGAAAAATACCAAATGGTACCAAATTGTGCATGTGGTGTAAGAAAAGAGATGAAATTATAAAATAGGATAACTGTGAGTGAACAGCGTTTAGATAAGGTGACGAATTTGGAAATTTTTTACGTGTACGAAATGTACTAAATGGTACCAAATTGAATGTAAGTGCAGGGATAGAGTTGAACTTATAAATTTTCATATGAGAGTGGGTAAATATGGGCAAGAGTGTGTAGCTTTTAGATAAGAAAGTCAATTTGCATCTGCGTAATAAAAGTTGTACGAAAAGTAAAAAGATATGTATAGAGTGGGGAAAGAGCTAGAGCATTGTGCATTTGGGAATTATGGTCACCGTGACATTAAATCATATTTGATAAATGCAAAAAATACCAATCTACATAATTTTATGTACACATTTTTAGAAATTTTTATAACCTCCGCCATTTGGCCGAAATTTGAAAAAATTCCAAAAAATTCCGCTCAAATGAAAACCGTTATATGGGGGTTATACGAAGACGTGGTTCTGCATAAGTAATTTGTGTCATAGGCTGTAGTAACGGTTTCGAACTTTATATACGAAATTTGACAATTCGACTGAAAAGTGTGGCAATAATCGTCAAAATACCGATTATCGGGGGTACCATTTTATGGGGGCATACGATATCGTGGACCGATATACATAATTCTCTTTCAGGGGATAAAATACTCAGAAGGAACCCATTGTGTGGATTTTAAGATAATTCCGAATATCGGCAGGTGCCCTTATATGGGGGATATTTAATATCGTGGACCTATATACACAACTCTCTTTCATGGGGTAAAGTACTCATAAAGAACTGCTTGTGTAGATTTTCAGACAATTCCATTGAAAAATGTGGCTAAAATCATCAAAATACCGAATATCGGGACGTGCCGTTACAGGGTGAGATGAGAAAACTGCAACCAACTTCGGACTGATGTCTTTTCCAAGCCACTCGTCCGACTGCTGTTAAAATTAATCCAGTGACAGCTCATTATATGGTTTACAAGCGTACAAAAGGATTTTGGTGATGATTTTCCAGAAAAAAGTTGTTCGTGATGGAATTCAAGCGTGATAGTGCGATTTCTTTATATGTGGCTGGAAAACCACAAGTTAGAGCACTCCAGCATTTAAATGTGAATAAATCTTTTGTGTCCCGTACCATCGCTCGTTACCGTGATACTGATAGCGTAGCCCGACATCAAGGAAGTGGACGGAAGAAAACAGCAGTATCAGCAGAAATGGTTCGAAAAGTAAAGAAGCGACGTGGTCGAAAAATGGCTCGTGAGCTGAACATATCGCAATATTTCATTCAGCAAATATTAAAAAATGAGCTCGGGGTAAAGCCATTGAAATTTCAAAAAGTGCAAGAACTTACACCGCAACAGAGCTAAAGAGTTGCTTCGCTTGGCCGTAAGTGGGGAATTGCCGATTTTGGTTTTCTCCGATAAAAAACATTCATTCTCCAGCAGTTTGTAAACAAAGAAAATGAACGTGTTTGCTGGCCAATAAGGTCAGCTGAAAATGTGTACCTTCGGTTGGCCACCAGAACTCAAGCGCCGGCCATGGTGATGGTGTGGGCCGTCTACCAGCCAATGGTCGCTCTCCGCTCGTATTAATCGACCGCGGCATCAGAATAAATGTCGAATATTATCGCGAAAATATTCTGGAGGGTGTATTAAAGCCTTGGGCATTCTAACAGGACTCAGCACCATTGCACTCAGCACGCGCCACCCAAAAATGGTTACAAAATGAGGTTCCTCGCTTCATTTCCAGCGCACAACAGCCACAGAAATCTCCAGATACCAATCCGTTGGACTATTGTGTCTGGATTATTTTGGAAAGCAAGGCTAGCACTAAAAAATACCAAAGTGTCGATCACCCCAAGCAAGCACTTCGCCAGGAATGGGCCAAAACACCGCAGAGCAACATTCGGGCAGTGTGTGATGTTAATTGGCCGTTTGAAGGCCATAATTCGTGCCAAAGGTGACTAGTTCGAACAAATCTAAACTTATTCTAAAATTTGATGCTATTTCCGACAGTTTTCACTTTCTTTCAATAAAATTAAAAAAAAAAATAAAAATTGTGGAGTTTGACTTTGTTGCAGTTTTTTATCTCACCCTGTGTATATGATATCGTGCGCCGATATAGACCATCTTCGAACTTGATCTGCCTGCAGACAAAATACAGATCTGTGCAAAATTTTAGCTTCCTATCTTAATTCGTTTTCAATCTAGCATGATTACAAGAGACGTACAGACAGGGCTAAATAGTCTTAGAATTTTAAGCTGATCAAGAATATATATATATACTTTGTTGGGTCTAAAATTATTATTTCGATGAAATACAAAAGTATGGTGGAGGGTATAACAAATCTGGTTTTGTGTATGAATTTATCATATGCAAAGCAATTATTTTATATGCGTATCTGAATAGGTCGTTTAATTTAAAACTTCTATTTCATACATCCTATTTGGGGTAAAATATCACACATATCATTTTTTTCGTATACGAAGCAGCGGAAATTTGCTAGCAAATAGTACGAGAGCTATATTTTCCCATAAATGTATAATTTTTAGTATCCCAATAGGGATCCAATTGATATTACACTCAGTTAACAGGTTATCTATTTTCCGTTCAATATTTGACCTTTTTAGCTTCTCTCTTTACTTTTCATCATCGTAATAACTACTGTCTATATTGTTGGCTCCTAACGTCCCATTATTCGTACCAAAATGCTCGTATATGATCACGTTTCGATAATCATCTCGCAGATTTTGGTTATCTGCTTTACTCTCTTGGGGGGACTATTGTGCAGCGGTGACGAGTTGCCTTTGACGCATTTTCAAGTTGAAGGCTTTAAATGTCATTAAAAATACCGCTAATCACGATTTTAGCCACCAACATGGTCTGATGAGTGAACGGTTGTTAAACAACAACAACAAGCATTGCCCGGATAATATTTGCTAGCTCACCCCGAAAGACGACAATAAAAACAAAAACTTCATCATTTTGGTCTTTGGGTTGTGGGGATTTGGTGGTTGGTTTTTAGTTAACCACAAGCATAACCGAAAACTGTTCATTACGTTTTTCAGATTCGAACATATCCATCTATCCCACCAACCAACCAACTATCGAATGGGAGGACCATCAAGTCATTCATCTGCATGGCAAGACCTCTCTCCCTCTCACTCCGTCTCGCCGTGAATCTGTTCAGAAAAAAAGTAAAGCCAGCATCTGGTGGCCAATAATACTATTCTGGGTTTGCTCATTCATGGATGCATGTCATGCGAACAGCCAGCCAGCCAACCGACATTGCCATTTGCCATTCAATTTGCGAAGCTCTCGCAAGCTTCTACATTTTACATTGCCTCGATTTTTTCCAAATGTTTGCATTTGACTCGAGGGGTCATTTTGGCTGATTTAATTTGCTTCATTCTTTTGGTATGCTGTTGTTGTCGTTCCGCTTTTGGCTTTATCTTCGCCTGCCTTGATTTGGCTTTGACAAACGGTAGACTTTGAATTGTCATTAATAGCTTAACAAATTGGCGTTCTTGATGTCCGTCCGTCCGTCCGTCTGTCTGATTTTTTCTGTGTAAGCAAGTTTACACTTTATATATGGCCAGCATCATGTT